CCTCCCGCTGCCATGGGTAGCACAGAGGCATTTCAGGGAGGGTGGGACGTTCCCGGTGTGGCCTACTTAGGTATCGGGTAATAACGGAGCCGGCAGCAGAGCTTGAAATGTCCTGATTTCGTGCTGTTAAAGCAGTTACCTAAATAATAACCAGATAATCCTGAGCATGGGGCCTCCAGGCCAGGAAATTGGCATTAACCTAACGAGAGCTGGGCACACGTGCAGAGAGGTTCCTTCCAGCTGCCTTGGGGGCCGAGGTGGCTGTCCCTCCCGGGGCACCTTTCTTTAGTAACATGCCTTCCACCGGCGATCCAATTAATGCTGGCTGCAGGTAGGAAAGACTGAATAAACGCTGGGCATTCTGCTCTTGCACAAGTGTGCCAGCGTCATTACACTAACAGCCTACTCACTGGCTTGTCCATCTTGGGGAGGCTTTGGAGTTGTGTTTCAAAGCAAGGATCTTGCAAGAGCATACTTGCTCTATTTTTGTGTTTGTTTGTGTTTTTTTTTTAATCAAAGCATTGTTTAAGATGAATGACTTGCCCGAGATTTCACATCTTTTTAGCTGAGTTTTAGTCTTTGAGAGCTGGTCCTGCTACTGAAATGGTGGTTTTACGACTTTCACCGTATTTTCTCCAAGCAGAGCAGTTGCAGCCTCATAAATCTGATGTGTCAAAGAACGAAGCAGTGAGGATGAGGTAATATATGTATAATTAGGTGCATATATTACCTGAGCCTATGTGAGGCTGGCTGTAAGTGGTGACGAGGCCAGTGGGAGCAGCCAACGCTGTGTGTGGAGGTGGGGATGGAGCACAGATGTAGGCACAGCCCTAGTGCGGGGCTGGGCAAAGAAACCCCGCACAGAGCCAGCGTGCCAGGCTGCTGCAGCAAAGCATGCAAACTGCCTGGCTGCCTCTCAATGTGCAAGGTGGGATCTGGCTCAGGTGGTATCCTCAGGATGCAAATAAACTGAGAATTTGGGCTCCGAATTCCCGAAACAAATTTAATCTGGACTGAAAGCCCCCTGGAGCAGAAATTTTTGATGAAGTATTAGTGCTTACCATTTTCTGGAAAAAGGCCAGTGTGTGAAATGTCCCCTGTGGTCCCATGAAGACTCCTGTAATGTGCAAAGCAGGCTGCTGTTCATGTGCTCTTTTTTTTTTTCCTCTCATTTCTTCATTTTTAATGTTGCTTGGAAGTCCATTGCACTCTTGGGGTGCTCGCTGTTTGCAGAGCTCTCCACGCTTCTTGCTGACTCCTGGGCACTGGTTGCATTCCTTACAGGCTGCTGGATGCAGTTTGGAAGGAGAGATGTGTTGGGAAGTGCCTTGCAGGCTGTGAGGGAATGACTCATAAAAGCTAAGGTGTGTTAGTGTTATTGCCAAATATTGGTTTTTAAAGTAAGTCAGATGTTAAGGGTAGTGGCAAGTCACCAAGCGGGAGGAAGCCTGTCAAAGGCAGGATGGGACCGAACACAGGCTGACAACGCGGCTGGCTCCCGAGTGATCCCTTCCAGCCTGGGATCCAGTCCGCTCCACCTTGGAAAAATGGTTTGAGCAAACCCATGCTGGCTCCAGTGTGGGAAGGGCTGAGTTATGTCATCCACGCCCTCCAAGTTACGTTCGTTTGCTTGTCTTTAATGAGAGATTATAAGAGGATATCGTTTCCCTTATTACCTGTTGCTCAGGTTTTTGGTTTGTTGAAAGTCTAATTAACCTTCT